TTCAATCAATCAATCAACTTCAGCATGTGAGCAGCACAGAGGTGTATTAATGTCAGCTGCACTGGCCGCTGCCCTTGGAATTAAGATAAGGTTTTATAGAATAAAGGTTTCACAAATCTGAAACTGTGTTATAAAGAATCTTTAGCCTCTGTGGGATAATCCAGTCCAGATTTTATGAGTGTAGGTCTAGTGGTTTCAGATCAGGACCTGCTCTAATGTGGTCTAGATTTTTTTTTAAAAGCATCAACATCTCCCTTGTTTTTTATTTTCACAAATAGAATAAAGGTTTCACAAATCTGAAACTGTGTTATAAAGAATCTTTAGACTCTCTGGGATAATCCAGTCCAGATTTTATGAGTGTAGGTCTAGTGGTTTCAGATCAGGACCTGGTCTAATGGTCTAGATTTTAAAAAAGCTTCACTGAAATCTCCCTTTTTTGTATTTTCACAAATAGAATTAAGGTTTCACAAATCTGAAACTGTGTTATAAAGAATCTTTAGACTCTCTGGGATAATCCAGTCTGGATTTGATGAGTCTAGGTCTAGCGGTTTTAGATCAGGACCTGGTCTAATGTGGTCAGGATGCGAAAAAAGCACTGAAATCTCCCTTGTTTGTATTTTCACAAATAGAATAAAGGTTTCACAAATCTGAAACTGTGTTATAAAGAATCTTTAGCCTCCGTGGGATAATCCAGTCCAGATTAGATGAGTCTAGGTCTAGTGGTTTCAGATCAGGACCTGGTCTAATGTGGTCTAGATTTTAAAAAAGAACATCGCATGCTCCATCGCGAGGCATCATTTCTTTTTAAATTGCAACAGGGGGTCCCCGCCAGAGGATAATGCTATATGGGGGTCCTTGGCATGGCAACGTTTGGGAACCCCTGCTATAGTGCACTGGAGTCCGTTGTTATGCCACTGTGTGTGTGGTTTTGCTCGGTGCCCCCCCGTGCGTAATTAGCACATCGGACAGCAACTCAGCAGCCCCACTCAAAATACCTTCACGCGCCTCTGTGTAACTTGATTTATGAGGCAAGTATGGGTTGGAGTATCTGCGCTTTCAAAGTTGGCGCAGATAAATATTCCTTGCCTACCTGCCGGCTGCGCGCTTCCTTTTTCAACACCCACTCAGCCCGCCCTTGTCAAGTCATTTGTTGGTACCTAAGTGAAAGCCTCGTTTCGCTGAGAAGATCTCCCCGTTAAACTGACGCTGCCGGCGGGTCCGGGAAACTGACGCTGCTGGCGGGTACGTTGAACTTATCCTTGTCGCTCATCGTGCCGTAGTATTTATCCTTGTCGCTCATTGTCCGTCGAATATCCAACCTAAAACTAAATTCACCGCGGTCCCTTGTCACCATCTCGAGCTTGGACACGGTAGGAGTAGGAGTCGGTTACACAAATAATTAGGCTATGTATGGTGCTGATGTTTGAAAGCTTTGTTCGGTTTTCCGGTGTTTTTCGGTGTGGGGGGCCATAGCCTGTACGTGTTTGGTGTGTGTATTTGAGTGTGTATTTGTGAAACGGGGATGAGGTATCACGTCGCCTTTTTAATATCATGGCTGACAGGTTGAGGTTAGTGAGGTGGTGGAGAAAGGTGTCGTTGCCTTTATTTAACGAACGTAATAACATTGTCGTTGTTTTGTTTCCGTATAAGATTACCTAAGTACGGCAGCAACACTAATTGGGATCGTGCGTTCGAGTTTTGGGCTTGATGAGTGTAGCTGTACAGTAAAGTTTGTTCAAAGATCATTGTGGATGTATTAAATCGTAACACATCTCATAACCTGTGACTTCAACGTTTAACCTTCAGGTTATAGAGATGTCCATTCAGATGTAGCGTACATTCATTCTTGCTAGGCGCGCACATGCCGACTAGACTGAAAACATTAGAGCAGAAGTGCAACATTTTTATACATCCAGATACATCGATATTAATTTATTACAGTAGGCTATCATTAATAACTAACTCTTTCCCTTCTGATAGAAATGCAATTCTTCCCTTATGTTTTTAAATGTCTCAAAGAAGTAATTTCACAAGCCTTTGTGGAAGAAACAAGAGTTACTTCCCTGTTACAGGGGTGTATTAAGGGAGACTGCAATGTTGTGTTCAAGTGCAAGTGAATCCCTGCTGGGGAGTAAGAGAAAACATAAGTAGCATGGATTGGGGAAGCTGTAATGATCTTCAAGGTAATTGAGAAAATACCAAAAGAAAATGTGTTGGAGTGAGGCGTGAAAGATACAATTGAGGTGAGAGGTGAGGCGATGCGGATAGTTTATCTAATGGAGGTCAATCAGAAAATGGAAGAAATTAGTTCTGACTGGGTGGTAATGACAGGAGGGTGTCAGGGAAGATAATAGTTAGGAATGCTGTATGAATCATGTCTCTGATGGGAAACTACTGTATATCTCCAACAGGAAGTGAACTGAACATTAAATTGGTGATCAACATTGGACCAGGTTTAAGTTTTATTATGCAGAAAGTCTTCTCAGCACTGATCTCCAACATGAAAGGTAGGTCTCTGACAATGTACCAACTTTAAACTGTGTCCAACTTCAAATTTGTTGTCAGTTATTTCATATTTAATTCTTGACAGAGCTCCGGGTCATCTTTATGCTGTTTTGGGCAGCTGGACTCATGCAGTGCTTTCCAGCCACAGCAAGTCAAGGTATTCTTCTATTGTGCACCTTCTTACATGATAAAAGGAAAGTGTATGTTAAATAATTCCTACTTTATGATGTTACAGGTGGAAACAGTTTGGAAAAGCTGTTTTTCTGCATGGACCCACGATGTGCCAAAAACGTGATTACCATTTTTTGTGACGACAAGCTGGTGTCATTTGACCAAATCGCAGATTGTAAGTCTGCAGGACCTCCACCGCCCCGAACTGTCTGCCAGCATGACGGTCGGGCATTCGTTTTCACCGATACAAGCGGCCGGTGTGAATTTGAAGCGGAAAGCAGAGATCTTAAGACTGGAAATTGCAAAGGTATTACACTTACTCTCTAAAGCCCATAGGCTTATATTATGATTATCTTGAAAACATTTAGTCATGCAAAAGTCAATGCTGCCGACTTTTATTAACATTTATTCTTATTTAAATTTGACCATTCAATAAGTGGGATTATATGCTGCTGTACTATCGTTGATGCATCTAAGGACTCATCACTTCAGCTGAGGAGGCAGTTGTTTTGACAGCCCTTGATTCCCCCACTTACATTTTAGCTTTTGAATCTTTCTCCTCTCTTCTTTTTACTGACCTTTGATCATTGCACTCTTTACAAAGATCAGCGCAAAATGGCCAGACAAGATTCTTTATTTATATGTATTCTCATTCAAATGTTTCCGTTCGGATCAAATTGTACAATTATTGAATGAACATGTTTGCACACAATACATTTTCTGAAGTCCTGATCTAATAACACTTGGTAATACTTTTCTGTTTTCTCAACTAGACCACAGCGACATTTGCACTTTTTTCAATGGTAAGTTATTTCCTTCAGATTCTCTTTATACCATACTCACATTATTTATTGACCTTTGACTGGAGTTTTTCCTCGACTAGGAAACAGTAATGGTGTAGCTACTACTACACCCTCACCAGTCACCACAGAGGCTTCGCGACACGATCCTGCAAAACGTGGACACATTGTCGTTGGAGTTGGTAAATTCTGAACACTAGTTAATCTGAATAATGTATTTATTAACAACTTGTTATTTCTGCTTCTGCACAAGAAACTGTTAACAGCAGCCATTGGTTCAAATATTGTTCACTTTTCACATCTCCCATGTACGCTATGATTTGTAATTACGAACAAATAATGCAACTAATCTTACTTGCTTCTGCTCTCCTTTTTTCTGTCTTTGATCTTTTGCTCACGGCTTAAATGTTTCTCTTTGAAAAGCTGAGAATCGGGTGAGATCAAAGTGTTAAGATGTGTTGCATTCATTGTTTATTGATACAATATCCCTGAAGATCCATCTTTTGATTCCACAGTTGTTTCAGTACTACTACTACTAGGAGTTTCATGTCTGATTGCATATTTAGTACGAAGAAGAAACACAGAGAGGAATCAGCAAACAAGGTAACTGAAATATATTTGTGTTATTCACAAAATCCCCATATTCAAATGCAAAGCTTTTATGATGCCTGTTGCCTCATGTTTTATATGTTTTTATCTCAGGGACCCTAGGGAAGAATTCCCCCTACAAACTAGGTTAGTGAACATTATAATAAAAAGTCAGCATACAACACAGTGTGTGCAAATGTAGATTAAATATACTAATTCTGACTTTTGACTCCTTCAGCGATACTCGTGGTGACCCATTGGAGGATGTCAGCTCTCTACCTCAACATCACCTTGGCACTTAAACTTCGTCAGTGGCGTCTTACGAAGTACGACGAAACGTATTATTATTATTTGTCGTTAACTCTCAGGATGATCAACTCACTAAATTTTGTATGTACTGTAAGTCAGGGCTGAGGAAAATATGTAGTGAAATGACTCAACGGTTGCAAGCCGCTCTCTGCCGTCC